ATTCATAGTTTTCTTGTTTTGAGTGACCAGTATCTGCAGTAAAGTTGTATTTTTTTTCAGCAAGGATAACTTGTGTTCACATCTTCTCTCCCCTTGATACCAACACAGCATGAAAATAGTGGTAGTATTTTCTACTACTTATCTCAGAGTCTATTTTTGCATAACTTCCATAGGGATTTTCTCTGCTTAAACTAAAACATTTGGACATGAGTGTCATTGTGTGGCTTTGAATGAAATCTTCCAGGAAGTTGAAACAGAGCTGAACCAAGAAGAGGAGAACCTGTAGCTTTGTCCCTAAGTTCCAGAGACCTCCAAGCGAGGTGAGGAAGCTGCCTCCATGGGCAGGACTGGACAACCGGAAAAAAGAAAAAGCCCCGGTACCCTTGCGAAGAGGAAGCCCAGGTGGAGTCTGATGAGACCAACTTTGTTCCTGAAGCCTACATGGACCGGATGTCAAGAGTTCGCTCTGATCCTTTATGGAGTATTCCAACAAAGCCAGCTAAAATTGCTGTTTAGTTGTTCTGCCCTGTGATTTTATGCAAAAATAGGTAATATGGGGCCTCCCCGGTGGCGCAGCGGTTGAGCGCTGGGTTGAAAAGCTGCCCGCAGCCTCTGCAGTGACAGTTCGCTCCCCGGCAGCATGGTGAGGGTCCCACATGGTGTGTAGACCTCTCCTGCCGCCCACTGTTCCCCTCAGCAGTGTACTTCGTCAGTCTGCCTGCTCTGCTCTCCCCTCTGGCTCTGGTGAATTCTCTCACCCTCCCGCACTTCTGAATGTACCCAGTGCTTGTATAAATAAATAAATAAATCTTTAAAAAAAATAGGTAATATAGTTTAAAAGCAGATTTGGTTTGCAAACTTTTGCTACGCTGTTGAAACAATTTGGGATCAAGGTTGAGAGAACCTGTTTTTGCATAAGTTGAATCAATTTTAACATTTTTCCTGTGATTTTATATCTTTGCTGTTTTGTTTTGGCTAATGCCTCCAGATTTTTTTCTTCTTTCTTTTTCTTTTTTTTGGCTTGGACTGATTAACTATTTCCCAGGAATGGAGGGCTTTTGCTTCCACAATGGACAACACCTGGAGAGACTGGTTTGCTTTCCAGTGGGAACCTTGAGAAAAATTTTCATCTGAGACTGTACCCCAGCATCCATACATTTCATCTTTAGCACCATGGAAATGGTGGCAAAAAGTGAAAGGCGGAAATTGTTAGGGGGAAAGGATGTTCTAAGCTAATTCCATACAGGCTTTGTGGATGCCACCCCCACTCCAACAAGACACCAGGCACTACAAATCCCAGGATCCCCAAAAGGAAGTTGCGAGGACCTAAGGGTGGAGTTAAGTAGCCATTTTCTGTTTGTAAATAAAAACTAGCCATATTAGTGGGATCAGGCACACTTGGCTTGTGCTCTTGGCCTGGCAGGTCTGGTCTCAGCCGGTCATTTGGGATTCCAGGTTGGTGGAACAGGTAGGACACATTTAAGAATTTATCTCCCTCTTTTCTCCCTGAGTTGTGCATTTTCTCATCCCCCTTCCCATGTAAATAAACCTTTTGTTAACCTTTAAAAAAAAAAAAGGAAAAAAAAATTTAAATAAACTGCAAAAAAAAAGAATTTGATAGATTCATGATAAAAATACTCAGCAAAGGAGATACAGAGGAAATTTCTTCAACCTTGAAGGGGCATCTATGAGAAACTCACAGTTGATATCATATCTAATAGTAAAAAATTGAATGCTTTCTCCCTAAATTAGGAACAAGAAAACCATATCTACTCTCACCATTTCCATTCAACATTGTACCAAAGATTCCAGCCATACAATTAAGAAAAGGATATAAAGGAAACCAGGCCAGAAAGGAAGACACAATAGTATCTCTACTCACAAATGACATGATATTGTACATAGAAATCCTGAAGAATCCATTTAAAAGATATTAGAACTAACAAGTTCACGTAAGGTTGAAGACACAGATCAACAGACAAAGCTCAATAAACAATCTGAATATGAAATTGAGAAAGCAATTCTATTTACAACAGCATTGAAAAATAATATGCTTAGGGATAAATATAACAAAAGAAGTATAAAGCATATACCCTAAAAACAAAAACTATGTTTGAAAGATATTAAAGACCAAAATAAGGGCCTCCCCTGGTAGCACAGGGTTTGAGCGCTGGGCTGCGAGGCTGCCCGCAGCCTCTGCAGTGCCAGTTCATTCCTCGGCCGCTGGCAAGGGTTCCACAAAAAAAAAAAAAAAAAAAAAAAGACCAAAATAAGCAGAAAGACATCTGATGTTCATGAATTAAAAGAGTTAATATTGTTAAGATGGCAATACTTCCTATATTGATCTACAGATTCAACACAATCCCTATGAAAATCCCAGCTGCCTTCTTTGCAGAAAATGACAAGATGATCCTAATCTTCATATGAAAATTCAAGAGCCTAAACAATCTTGAAAACAAACTTGGAACACTCACACTTCTAGATTTCAAAACTTACTACAAAGCTACAGTAATCAAGATAGTGTAGTACTGGCATAAGGATAAACATACAGAACAATGGAATAGAATGGAGAGCCTAATTGCTTCTTGACAAGGATACCAAGATAATTCAATGCAGAAAGAAGTCTTCAACAAATAATGCTGGGATAGCTATTGATATAGATCTACATATCTCTGTATCTATCTATCTATCTACCTAAAAGATTAAAGTGTGGAGGATCACACATGTACAAAAATTAACACAAAATGGATCAAGGACCTAAATATGACATCTGACACTATAAAACTTTAAGAAAACAGATGTGTAAATCTTTGTGACCTTGGATTAGGCAATGGCAGGGAGTGACTGCTAATGGATATGAGTTTCTTTCATCTGTGACAAAAATATGCTAAAATTTACTGTGGTGATAGTTACATAACTTTGTGAATATGTTAAAAACAATGGAATTGTATACTTCAAAAGAGTGAAGTTTATAGTACATTAATAAAGATATTTAGTTACCAGCTATTACACTAAGTACATACCCAAGAGAAAGTGAAAACATTTGTCCACATGAACATGTATACATAGATGTTCAAAGAGTAATATTCAAAATGGTCAGGATATATCCAACTGATGAGTGGACAAACAAAATGTATATGTATATAATGGAATATTATTCAGTAATTAAAGGGAATGAAGTAGTGATATATAACATGGATTCTTAAAAACCTTATGTTAAATGAAAGAAGCCAGTCACAAGAGACCACATGTTATATGATTACATTTATATGAATTACAGGTTAGTGGTTAGCTAAGGCTAGGAAAGAAGGTGAGAATGGGGAGTAACTGCTAAAGGGTGTGGTGTTTCTTTTGGGGGGTGATGTAAATGTTCTAAAATTAGATAGCAGTGATGGTTACACAACTGTGAATATACTAAAATCCACTGACATATACAGTTTAAATGGGTTAATTTTAAATTATGTGAATTATATCTCAATAAACTCAATATCTCAAAAAAAAAAAACCCTCAGAACTGTACACCTAAAAGAGATAAAGGCAAAAAAAACCTTTAAAAACAGTATTAAGGTTAGATCTCCAAGTGCAAACAAACAAAAGGATACTTTTAAATACATTTAGAACAAAAAGCTGAATGTGGAAGAAATATTGCTGTGCTCTGTGCCAGCAGTACAATAATGATAAATGATAGATAAAAGTCCTCATTTACTACTTTTGCTTCTGCCTTCTCCGTTCCCAAGAGAGAAGTGAGAACTCAACTACTTTAACAAGAGTTCAAATGTCTTGGACTAGGTGAATTACAGCTGAGGGATCTGAGAGTAATTTCAAATGAGACTGCTGAAGTTATGTCACTGATCTTTGGGGGAATTATGGAGAAAGATGTTTTAGGAAGACTGGGCAGATGTAATTTCAATTTTTGGGAAAAAGAGGGGGGCAAAAGTTAATTCTATAAATGACAGACAAGTTTGATATATGTTGTAGATTACTATAGGGATAGATTATTACAGGGATGGCTTATAAAAACCTAGAAATGGAAAAATAAGCACCAGAAACCAGCTTGAATTCACTCAGAAAAGTCAATCTAGTTAATCTTTATTTTGTTTTTTGTGTTGTTACTAAGTGGGTAGCTATGAGAAACATGGAGGGCATATCCTATTAAATCTTAACAAGGCATCTGACAAAATCTTTTATGAGATCCTTAAGTACAAAATTGAGAAATAAGAGCTGGCTGTTAATATTTGTTAGATTAATAATTGCTTGAAGGATCATTCTCAAAACATGTAGGTCATTATCATGCTTGATAAAGATTTCTAATAGCATACACTATAGGGTTCTTCTAGCTTTAGGAGCTTCATCATTTATATCCAACAACTTAAATGGAGATATGCAAACTGTACCGATGAAATGTACATGTGGGCCTCCCCAGTGGTGCAGCCAGTTGAGCGCAGCGCTGTGAAGCTGTCCACAGCCTCTGCAGTGCCGGTTCGATTCCTGGCCAGCCAGGGAGATTCCCACATGGTGCAGAAGACCTCTCCTGTCGCGCCCGCTGCTCCCCTCAGCAGTGTATTTCAGTCTGCCTGTTCTGTTCCCCGCTCTGTCTCCAGTGAATCCTCTTACCCTCCCAAGCCTCTAGCCTTTACCCCAGCTATTGTATAAATAAAATAAATCTTAAAAAAAAAAGGAATGTACATGTGACAACACCTGGAAAGACAGTGAATAATTGAGATGACAGGATATTAATTTTAATTAGAAGCAGTTGGGTGTAAAACAAAACAAAACTTGCCTGGATCAGGTGAAATCAAATAATGAAACAGATCCAAATCTCAAACTTAAATTTGAAATTAGTGCAAGGAAAAGAAACAATTTTTCAATTCTGAATTCAGCCTCCAACTGGAATTGTAGCTAGTTAGAATGTGATCTGAGATATCCCAGTCAAAACACCAACAAAACCAATATGAGTACAAGAAGTTTTTATCAACAACTGTGGCCTTAATTACTCTTACCCTCTTTCAGACGGTCCCCTTCAGCCTTGGTTTTCTTCTGTCTTTCTGATCCAGCAAGGTCTACAAGATGCAGCTTGGAGTGAAAGCTGCTATTTCTATGATGACAGGAAGACAAAGTGAGAATTTTTATTTATTTTTTATTTTAACATTTATCATTTTTTTTACATTTTTTAGACAATATTTGCTTCCCCCAACCCCCTCAGGTTGAGTCCCCATTGAATTTCCTTCCCCAAGGCACCCATGCACCATCACCACAGTCCCCTGTCACAGTGAGAATTTAAGTGTAGTTTAAGGGAAGTTGAGTATCAAAACGGACCTGCTGTTTCTTGCTTTCTTTCAAGTCAAAATGGTTCCATTGGTTACTAGTGCTCTGAATATACTTGTTTGATGATTTTTCAAATCAATTGAAAAAAGCAGCCTAATAGTCAACTTTAGTAGAACTGTTAATAAACCTTCAATCTTTAAAATGTAACTTACTTGTCATTTTTCTTTCTTTGCTCTATGGAGATTGTAAAGATGGCATGAGATCGAGATGACTTAGAGTTCATAGCTGTGGAGCCCACGGTCCTACAGTTGTTGCCCTGCTCTAAACAGGAAACAGTATCCAGAGCAACCAAAACAGTCTTCTCGGTGAGTCCTACAATCTAATTCAGAGAAAGAAAAAAATTCCTTATGACTCATACTTCATGCACTTGATCAGAAATACAGGAATTGGCGGTTAAAATATGCTTTGACGAAGCTCAATAAATAGAACAGTCATAGTGATGAGGACTGTTTTAATTAGCAACTCTGTGATCACTGCAAATCAAGGTCTCCAGTCTCACCTAGGGAACCTCCAAAATAAGGGTGCCAGTCAATACTAGTACTGGAAAAGATCTCTAGATTGTAGGGAGCCCCATGTGGAAGTGAACTTTGGCCCAAGGACAGGAAGAACAACACAAACAGCTATGTATTTCTCTTCATTACTTCCTCTTCCTCCTCCTTCCTGTACCTCTGATTTGTACCTCACTTCACTAGGGTCAAATAGCAAGGTATAGTTTTGGCTGAATAAGGCAGCCAGGAAAACAGGGTGGTAGGCTTGGTACTGGATCTACCAGGGAGAATAAGTTAAAATCTCTTGGATCCTCTGGAGATTGAACTAACTGATTGTGAAGTCCCTCCTTGCCCAAATACGCTGTTAGTTTATCACTCTGTAGTTCCTATAAACCTACATCAGTAACCCTAATATCTAGTCCTTTATTTCTCATTACCTACTATGCACACTAATTAATTTACTGATTGAAATCATTAAATTATATATCAAAATCATCTTCCTTCCACAACGACTCTCTACAACTTCTCCATTTCTATTTCCATTTCCAAAACCTCAAGGTGTGCCTCCAATTCCTCCCACTCCTCCATATCTCATCTATCAACAACTCCTAGTTATTCTTCTTTTGTATCCATTGCTTCATTTTCCTTTTCACATCGACTTGACTGGTCTAGATTCAAATTACTCCATGCCTGAAAAATAAGGCAGCAGTTTCCACAATTGACCTTCCTCATCTTAATCTCCTTTTCAATCTATTTCTTTTCGGGTTTCATAAAGTCCTGCCTCCTAAGCTGTCACCAAACTACTAAGCCCTTTGCTAGATATGAAGATATGAAGAGATTTAAAGATATTCCCCTTACATCCAGGAGCTAACTTTATAGAGATATACACATAAGATAAAAATTGGATAAATGTGTCCATAGCAATCATTCATTTGGAAGTATTAAAAAACTTATATATGGTTCACAGGAATAGAAACCAAGCTCATCAGCCTGGCTGCATAATCTGGTCCAAACATATTTCCTAGTACTTCCCAACCCATATCCTCTAATCCAGACAAAATGCTCTACTTATTATACCCAGGAGAATGTTTCTTGCTTTACTTCTTAAGTTATTCCTTACTACAAGAACACCTTTACTTACATTTCATCCATCCCATATGAAATACTTACGAACTTGACCTTACCCACGACAATATGAGTCAGGAATTCAAATATCTTTGTATTGAAATTTTAATTTCAAATAACGCTTGGTATTTAATTCCTGTCTTACCATGAGGCATATAAAAGATCTTAAAGCTGGGTGAATGTTGGCTCAGTATCAACATTCTTTCTAGGGATAGCTTGCACTTTGCCCGTGTTCTTTATTCTTACTATCGAAATTGTCTTCCTGCACTCCAAGCTTTTAGGCTTTCAAAATAATCTTTAAACCCTTACTTTAGTAGCTGGCGAATGACTTAAAGACCCAGAAGCACATGCACCTGCTCCTCAGGCTCCTACACCCTAAATCTTCAATTTTCTCTATCTGTTCTTTCACTTCCAGCCTTAGATTTTGTCACTCCGGAGTACTCAAGGTGGTTCTAGACCCAAGCTCTGCCCATTGTCTACTATCTTCTGATTTGGCCCATTCCCATATATGAAACTCCTAAGATTACCTCAAATTTTGTGTTCAGCTCCAGCTCCTCACCCTGTCACTGTAACAGAAGCCTCTCAAATAATCTCTTTCTACAGTACTTATTAATTTTCAAATTCTTACATTATTTAACTTTTTGTTTTTTAAATATTATCCCAGAGCATAGTACAATGTCTATTACAGGGTTGCCCAATAGAATTTTCTATGACAATGGATATATTCTATATCTGAAATGTTTAATACAGTAGCCACTAGCTACATGTACCTGTTAAGCACTTCACATATGACTAGAGTTACTGAAGGACTAAATTTTAAATTTTATTCAACTTTAGGTCATTTCAGTTTATACAGCTATTTGGTGCTAATGGCTACTGTACTAGACAGCCCAGACTAAAGAACTTTATTCCCCACAAGGGCTCACATCTGGGATACTAGCTTAACAAAGGGAATTAAGACCACACAAAATCTGAAAGACTAAGATGCTAGTAGTCATTTAAAATTACATCAGAAAATAAAAGGGATGTGAACTTTTAACAGTGGTCAACATATTTTTATAACATCATATGAGAGACAAACGCACCTTTATGCCTTCCTTAGGATCCTCCCGTATATTTATTTGAGAGGCTTTGTCACGAGATGGACATAGAAGATCCAAGATTTCTTCATTGTAAATCTGGTATTGTTGAAAATAAAGTGATAAAACCAAGATGTTAATGGGAGTAATTTCAGGATGGTGGGATCATATATTTTTAAAATTCTCTACAACTCTCTGTATTTAAAATTTTTGGAAAATTTTTTTTAAAAATTAATAACTTTACATGTAATCATTTGATACTTAAAAATGAATTCACATTTGTTGTATAACAAAAATTGAGCCTGCTCTTTCAAGAGTCACTTAGGAATAGTAAACACAACAAAAATTACATGGGTGTCCAAATTCAGTTCTTTTGATGGTGTCATAGCAGCATCATTTTCATCAATTTTGTTAAAATGTAAACAATAGGTCCTTAATGAAGGGTGGAATTATGGAACCAACCAACTAGTTTCCCAGAAGCCATGATTTCCCCAAATATGTGGTTTTGGTGTCGTGAGGTTAGATATAACTGGTTAATCTACTTGTATACCAATATATACTAGCATAAAAATTTTCACAAGTGCAGGAATTATTATGTTTTGTTCATTTATATATCCCAAGAACCTATATACCATAATAGGTGTTCAATAAATACCTGTTGAATTAATACACTCTATTATCAATTATATCACACAATACCTCACCCAATTTTTATAAGTCTTCATGAAGCAGCAGTTACCACTTAAGCATCAAAACAGTTAAGAAAAATCAAATACTGTTCTGCAGATTCCTCAGGGAATCAGTAACAGAGGCCAAATTGTAATTAAAGAATTTCTATCATTGTTTTTATACAACAATGCCAACTCCTCTGATGATCAGATTAAACATACTATTCTGACAAGGAAAGAATTGGGTGGGAGCCAGATCCAACTGAGCTAGTTAAGCTTTCGCAATCAATTTAATATGCAATTTACTAAAAATGCAATTTACTAATTTCAGTCATGCCATGATAAACCTGATTGGATTTATTTTTCTACCCAAAGATAAATATGATAACAGAATAATTAAGGATAAATAATTTACCTCTAAGTATGACACTTTCAGAGTAAATTCGAAGTCATTCTTTTTATCAATTTCTTTGAAGAGAAACTGTATTACCCTAGGAATGACCCCAACTGTTGGTTCATTCTCTTGCTCTGCAGTGTATGTACCTCCCATTGAATAGGTTTTTCCAGAGCCAGTCTGCCCATAGGCCAGGACAGTAGCATTGTATCCTGGCAAAATAGAAGTCACATGCATAGTCATGCTTAAACATTTTCATCCAATTAACATACTCCATTTCCTTCACCAATTATTTGTAACAAAATTAAAATTGATCTCTTAGGACTAGTATACACAGAGCATAGTTTATATGGGTACCTTGACTTTGCACAGCTCCAAATAAGCAAAGAAGAAAAATACTAACCCCAAAACGCAGGCCCCTCAAACATATGACTGAGATAATGAAGGTGCCAAAGTCATGTCAAAAGTCTTTCATAACTTTATAATTCTAATTTTTCTCTTCTTTGAGTTACAAATTACAAGAATTAAATGAGCCTTAGAAGCTCCATAAATAGAAGAGATTGCAGCATATATTTCTTTGATTAATAGAAGCTTCATTCGGAAAGGCAACGAAGTTGCTTTTGACTGTCAGTGAAAGGATCCACTCCCTATCTGAATTCTCAGACTGTATCTGGACCATATTTTTAGGCTCTTCATAGAAACATCATCATTTAAGCATGATTTAATATGAAATATTCCCTTGCTTTTAGAGAGAATTGATAATCTTCTATACAAAAATGTCATGATACAGTTATAAAAAATATTGTTCTTTCCATGGAAAAGAAAAACGTTAAAAATAATTGGTAAGTGTGTGTACATATGTAGATATGTGACAAGCTTAAAAGGACAGCGATTATTAATATCCTGATATTTATCTGGGTAATAAAATGATATTTTTTATTGTATTTTTTGTTGCTTTTTTTATATTTTCTAAATTATTAAATAGAACAGTAGTTGAACAGTAGATATATCTTTAGCTGTTGCCTATGTTATCAGTACTATCTGCAGAAAGACCCACAAAGTACATTTCTGCTTGAGTTCAGTTTTAGCAAAAATGTCTCTTTTATAGATCAATTTGTATATTTCCTCTTGTCAGAGAATCCAAATTGGAGATTTTCCTCTTATCTAATAAAGTTAAACTTTTGGTTGAAATAAGAGATAAATAAACCAAGCCATAGCTGGAGCAAGATTGAAAGAGGCAATGAATGGGTTATTATCATCTGAGCTTCAATTGATATCACTCACTAATTATAGGGTAGCAGCTACTAAACTGCAAACATGGCACCTAGGAGGAATTATAAATCCAAGTGTATTTCAAGGTGGAAAAATATGATCTTAGGGAAATCTACCCCTTATTAGTGGTAGGCATGTTCTAGTGAAACACAAAGCAAGTTTTCTCTGTTAACTGATCATCATTTACAACAGACCTATTACTTACTATTTACCAAGATAATTTTGGAGTCTGAAGGAAAAAAAATTTTGAAAGCTTATTAATCTAAATGAAAACCTTAAATTTTTGAAAGAAACTGTCCAAATGAAGACTTGGATGTCCTGAAAGATCATAAGAAAATGTTAGGTTGAGGGCCTCCCTGATGGTGCAGGCGGTTGAGCGCAGCACTGTGAAGATGTCCGCAGCCTCTGCAGTGCCAGTTCAATCCCCGCTGGCCTTGGAGCAATCCACATGGCGTGGCAGACCTCTCCTGTCTGGACCACTGCTCCCCTCAGCAGTGTATTTCAGTCATTCTGCCTGTTCTGTTTCCCACTATCTCTGGTGAATCCTCTCACCCCCCACACCTCTGGCCTGTACCCCAGTTCTTGAATGCATAAATAAATCTTTAAAAAAATAAAAGGCTTATACTTTAAAAAAAATAATGTTAGGTTGAGATTTTCACTGTAATAGACTGCTTGTATCATCTGGCATGACTATGGGCAAGAGAGTAATAGTCCATGATCTTCAATTACCACACATATGTGTACACAGCAATAACTGGGGAAACAAATTTCAGTACTTTTTACAAAATACTCAGGGTTCTATAACTAGGAATTCAAAGTACATGAGGGTGCTGTAGAGCTGTGAAGAATACTGGCTTTGTCTTTGCAACTGTGAGTAACATTAACCAAACACAAATAGATTAGAATCACCTTCTACTTTCTATCTCCTCTAAAGACTAAAGTTAAGAACATGAAAGTAGTACGATAGTGGTTACGATGTTCTCAACATACATTCTGAGGAAGATGACCAGAAAATGATGCGTCTAGAAACCATATTGTTTCAAGAATATCTAAATGAAGTGAGGGATGGTTAATTAGAAGGGACTCAGAATCATATATTCTAAACATGTGAATAGCAAACAATATTAGCTTCATAGTGCAGAAGCCTGGCAGATAACACCTTAATCAAATGATCAAATTGAGTAATAGAACAACTCAAAAGAGTGGTCTGCTTAATTAGATTCATTGAAAATATAGCACCACTTCTGTGTCATCTCTGTTAAAGATATACAACCTGGATCTAATCATAAATAAACACCAGACAAACAAAATTGAGAAAGTTTACAAAATAACTTGCTTGTTATCCTTAAAAGTGTCATGTCCATAAAAGTTAAAAAAAAAGGCAAGAAATTTTAGAATGAAGGAGACTACAGATGCAGTAAAACTAAATACATATGATTTTGAACTTGATCCTTTTGCTGTATAAGACATTATAGGGGCAATTGGTGAAATTTGAATAGGGTCTAGGGACCAGATGGTAGTAATACAGTAATGCTAATCCCATAATTATGATGGTTGTGGTGTGCTTATAAGGGAGAAAGTCCTTGTTTGTAGTAAATATACACTAAAGTATTCAGGGACATGAGGTCAACAACTCATGTCAGATGATTTAGGGAAAAAACGTTCTTTATGCTGTTCTTGCAACATTTCTATAAATTTGAGATTATTGCTTTAACATTTAAAAATTTGGAAACAAAGTACTCAATGTACCCTGAGCCATGACATCAATTTTAAAAACTGGGAAAAAAATACGTGAAATGCTATTGCCTGGAAGACTTCTGGTTATTTAGAGAGATGAATTAACATCACTAGGTAGATATTACCAGGAAGCAAATTTCATCTCAATAAAACTTCACACAGTTTCCTAAAGGCAATGAACCAAAGTGACCAGTGAGTCAGTGAGTTCCCTATCAAAGATGAAATTTTAAACAGGTTCACTTAACAGAGATATTGCAATAAAGCATTGTTCTTTCAATGGAGAGATAATGTACAAACGTCCCTTTCTTTTAAATGAACAGTAGTTTTGAATCTCTAATAACCAACTATACTAGAATAACAATTAGATGCCTCTTAAGCAATGCTCCTTTTTCAGAATCCTGCTACAGTCTTTATTAAAAGCCCTAGCTTCTGCAATAACAATTATTATTAATTGGCCGTAGTATTCTGGGGCTTCAGGAATTTTCCTTCGCCCAAAAGAATTCTATGTTATTCAAGACCTATCTCAAAGAAAGCTTATGGTATGAAATTCACCCCAAATCCCCCTGAGTGTCAGTAATCCTTTTGGTTTTTATACCACTTTGTATGAAAGCAGTGCTACTTCTATAGCTGGACTGGTTCTGTTGCATATTTTTAACTTTTAAAATATCTTTTTCTTAAAAGTAGGTACAAAAAGTTTAAAATATTTTATGTATTTAAAATTATGTAACTAGTCATGTACTTTCAGTCCTGCCTCTGGACTCTGAACTCCTCCAGGGCCGGAAGCTATACTATTTATTTTTGAATCCTTCAACAGACTTTGCCGTGCTAGAGCCTCAAGTATGCTGGTACAACGATCAGCATCAGCACCCATCAAAGAACTTAGAGGCTAATGAAGTTCCAGGAAAAACAAACAAAAATATACACAAGTCACAGATGAGTAGAACCACAGAAAGCAAACCTAAAGTCTAAAACAAGTTTTAGGGGTACAGAGACTTCCACAATACCATTGGGTTAGTTCCTAGCCTATGAGCTTTTTGAAGGCAAGATTCATGTCTCATCCATTCCTGCATGTGTGGCGCCCAGGTACAGTAGCTGACACATACTATATGGTCAAAAACCGTTAGGGAAATTAAAGCCACTCACCTTTAAATATTCCTTTAATAAGTGGTGCTACTGCTGTATTGAAGACTTCCTCTTGTTCAGTTGAGGGGTCAAACACGAAATCATAGGTGAAGGATTTGTCAGTACCAACCACAACCTGGGAAGGCAAGGGACAAGAGGTGAAGGGAAAGGAAGGGCAGACACGCCCCTCTGCCATTTGGCCCCTGCTCTTCAGAGGCAGCCCCAGGACTCTGCTACGCACCTGAGGTTCCCCCGGCACGAAGGAAAGGCACATCTGGCAGCCCTCGCTAATCTCTTTAGGGACTAGAGGGCGACACCGCAGCGCCACTCTGACGGGAATTCCCTTCACCTCTTCCTTCATGATGCTATCTCAGCACCGTCTCTGCGGAGGAGGAAGAGGGAGAAAAGAGGCTTGATGAAGAGTCGTGGTAGGTCCTTAGGGGAGGGAGGATGTCCTCCCTCACTTCCGACACTCCTGAGGGTGGGGTGGGTTACAAAACTCAACGGTAGCGGTGGCAGCCTCCTCCCTCCACGCGGGATCGCTGAGTCTCTCTCCCTCACTTGGCCACCACAGGACTGCCCGTCAGCCCGACACTTAAGACAGAAAAGTGGAGTCTGAAGTGGAAAAGGAAACCTCCCTTCCCCCCAGCGGAGAAGACGACAAAGAACCAAAGCCCCAGGGTACAAGGAAAGGCAGATTCTGAGCCCCCTTAACTCACCAAACTAAACGTCCCTTCCCAGGTCTCCAGCCGCCCTCTCCCAACCGAAGACTTAACCGCCAAGTTTCAAACCGTTACTAGAGGCGCCAGCCAATCAGAGCGCAGAAAACCGCAGGGCGGAGCACGTTCGTCTACAGAGGCGCGCGCCGGCAGACGCGCTGGGAAAGGGCCGGCCTGCCCCGCCCCTTCCTGCCTCAGCCTAACATCCGCTTCCGTTTCCAACACCTTTTGGGCGGAGAGTGGATCCGGTGGCGGCCGAGGCCTGCGGGCGGGTGAGGCGCCCCAATTTTCACCGCGTCGCCTGCGTTGGACTCAGGCAGGATGCGGGGTGGGGATTGGTAGGGGGCTGGTGGTAAAGGGCTATGGGGCCCCCAGCATTACTGATCACATCTGGGCGAGAGCGGTGCCTTGCCCAGGACCTGTGTAGCTGGTTGGAGTCAACTCTCCCTTGAACTTTGAGGGTGGTCAGATCTTTTTAGATGCGATCCTGATTTTCTCTTCTCTAGGAGGAAGACAGTAAAATTATTTTTCAGGATTGTGAGAAAAATTTCTGTTGAGTAGTTAGCAGGTTGATTGGCATTCTGATATTGAGCGAAGTTAATAGTTTCCTTACATCTTTTTTTTTTTTTTTCTATTTTCTCTCTTCAAATTGTTACTGTGAGTGGAGTGGACTGGTCTTATAGACTGCCAGTCTTTAAATAAGTTGGAACTCTTTTGAAACTTCCTCAGCTGCTGTCCCTTTTAAACTGTTATTGTCTGCTTTGATTCACCCTTCCATTCCAGAACCGTGTGGGAAATGGACAGCCGCATACCTTACGACGACTACCCGGTGGTTTTCCTGCCTGCCTATGAGAATCCCCCAGCATGGATTCCTCCTCATGAGGTGGGAACCAGCTGTACCCTTGAGTACGGAATTTTTTCCCGTGGGTGTGAGATGATAATATGAAAGGTAGGATGGTAGGTTTAGAAAACTCAGTGGAGATTGAGTCTTAGTCCTGTGTGTAGCCAGGGGGCCCAGAACTTAGATTCTCAGCTACTGGAACCATTAGGAGCTCCTTATGGAATCTTCCTGCCAGTGTCCATTCACACCAGAGAATTCTGGAAATTCAGAGCCCTACTTTCCATTCCTTTGTGATAAAGAACTGGGGCACAACTGAACTGCTAGCACTTACCCATGCTCTCCACCTATCCTTGTGGACAGTGTTATCTTTTTTACTTAAACTGAGTCCTTGCATCTTTTCCTCATCTCAGGGTGATACATTTGTGTTCCAGATGACGGTGGGTATAAAAGCTAAGACTGGTAGTAAGATTTTGGGGGGGGGGTTTCTGTGTCTTGCAGAGGGTATACCACCCAGACTACAACAATGAGTTGACCCAGTTTCTGCCCCGAATCATCACACTGAAGAAACCTCCTGGAGCTCAGGTGCGCTTATGGAACAGTTGCGTATTATTCCAGACTAGATTTATCCATACCAAGCCCAGAAGTTGACCATGGTTGGGGGGTCAGATTGGAAAGCAGGTAGGGAGGTAAGGTAACTTTTCCTTTTATGGACACAAAAGCTGTTGTGGAAGTTGTGAAAGATACCACTTCTATATCTTCTGATCTCTCTGCGAGACACATAAGCTGAACTCGTATAGTGATGCTAATAGATGTTCTTGTGTTTGTGGTCTATATTGAGCCCCCGTTCTGTGTTCTTGTCTTGTAGCTGGGGTTTAATATCCGAGGAGGAAAGGCCTCCCAGCTGGGCATCTTCATCTCCAAGGTGTGTATGCCTGGTAGATAGCTACTGTCCCTTGTAAATTATTAAATTGTAGAAACTCTGATATCTTTAGGCCTGAGAGGATGATTCAGTAGACTCATAGAAGGATCACAATGGTGACACCCTTTCTCACTTAGAACGTTCCGCCTGGCAAGCCATGTGTCTCCCTACATTGTCTCTCTCTCTCTCTCTCACAAAGCACTTTATATTTGAATAGCACTTAATTTTACTTATAGTCTTTGAGATTATCCCACCTTGACCACATGTTCTTTCCTTACCAATAGGTGATTCCTGACTCTGATGCACACCGAGCAGGACTTCAGGAAGGTGATCAAGTCCTAGCTGTAAATGATGTGGATTTCCAAGATATTGAGCACAGCAAGGTGAGCACAGCACTTGGACTGTGGTGATGGCAAGAAGCAATCCCAAGTAGAAAAGGTTGGACAGGGTTAGTTTAATCTGTAACTTGATAAAAAATCTCTCCTGAGGAAGTACAGCAGAAGTAAGCTGCTACTTGTGACCCAGAAGGTTAGAGTGAGAAATTACTTTTCTCCTGTTATAATTCTGTCCTCTTTGTTTATACAAGCTGCTGTTTTCCTTACAGGCTGTTGATATCCTGAAGACAGCTCGTGAAATAAGTATGCGTGTCCGCTTCTTTCCCTACAGTAAGTGCTACTCTTTTTTACTTACCTGGCATGATCCTGGGTAGGAATCCATTAAATATTTATTACTAGAGGCTTCGTGAGTTGGGAGTGGACAATTGGGAGCTCAGGCATGAAAATAACCTGTTTTTTCCTCCCTTTTCTTTTTCCCAGATTATCATCGCCAGAAAGAGAGGACTGTGCACTAAAGAGTTGCAACCCATAGCCCTCCACTTGGAATCTTCTAGAATAAGCTGGCTGGTCCCCAGGGAAACCACTTGAGAAACTACAGACATCCCCTCCCTGACACAGTGGAGTGGGGAGGATGGGGAGACGAGTTAGCTAACCAACTGCGTTACCCAAACTATACTGTACTTTTCGGTTCCCTAGTTTTCTAGGTGAGTTTCATTCCCTGACAGGAGAAGGATGATGATGTCTCGGTATAGTCTAACCTGTGGAGAACCAGCTGGAAAATGCAGCTGACACTTACTGTATACCATGTGCCAGATAATTACATACATGTCACATCAATTTCATTAGAGTATAGAAATCAACAGTAAAAAGCATCTTGGGGGCCATCTCATCCTATTATACTACCAGTCTCATATGCTTGGGAGACTCCAGTGGGACCCTCTTTTTTCACCCCTTCCTTTTCCTATCCTTTCCTCTAAAAGTAAAACACAATTCTGAGGAAATGTCGGTGTGACTTTGGATGATAGTAATTGGGTATGAAATGGTATTGAGGCCAAAATAAAAGCTCTCCCGTTATAATTCTGTCCCTGGGTCAGAACAGGTTGCTCCTCAACAACCTGGAAGAACACAGCAGCTCAAAGAGAGGAGTCACTAAAAGGAACAAAGCAGCATTATACCTACATCACAACTTTTTATCTGGTCAGAACATTAGGGACACCCAGGAGCCATAGCCACTATATAATGGGAGAATGGCGCAGGGAGAGGAGTACTGGAGGAAGCACAGCTCTGCCTCCCAGGAGCTTTGGACATTTCTCTGCAGGGGACAGTATTAATATAGTTCTGTCTTCTATCCCAGATTCTTTGATCTGGAATATAAACTAAGGGAGAAACCTAGATGCAGTTCTTTTCAGGAGTGGCTGTAAGAAATTGGTTTCAAATTTCCATTTTGTATGTTGAGTAGTGCTGACTACTTTCTCCTTCTCTTTACCCTAGTCCCCAAATAACCTGCCATCTTAATACCTTAGTTACCAATCCATTGTTAGAGATTTCAGGGGACACCTTAAGCCATTTCCATTGGCATATTCAAAATATATACTATTCAGAATGAAGTATGAAGTATAATGAAGTATGGCATGAAATACCCCCTCCCACCCTTAATGGAGGTCATAAATTTGTCGTGCAAGAATCCTGGGATGCTTAAATATATATTTTCAGGCCCTTCCACTAGAGAGTGATTCTGTTGGTCTGAGCGCCTGGAAACCTGAATTTCTAAAGTCTTCAACTATAGGAAACAGTTCTGAATAGTCATTTTTCTATGAAGAAGTTCTGGCTTTCCCTGTAACCCCTGTTCCCCACCCCCCACCCCCAACCATATATGCTAAGCTATCTCTTTATGCTCAGTGCCATTGTTAGGTAGCAATATCCCTTGTGAGCAGAGCTGGGAGTAAAGTTTAGCTGTCTAAATGCTAACTGGAAAATCCCTTCCTATTCTATGCTCCTGTTTGCCGCCCCCCCCCCACCCCATGAAAAACCTGAAAAAAATAGAGGCTTCCAGGAGTGGACTAGATATTTCCACAAAGGTATATTGACTGAGTCTACTGAATGTTGCAGTCCAAGACTCCCTATAGTTAACAGGTTTTAAAACAACTCATCTGAGAAGTGATAAGCATGATGAAAAAGTCTCAGCCAGGTACCACGGGCCCAAGGAAAATCCTGCCTCTAAAGTGGATGTTACTTTGAGATACTTGGAATGGTTCCATCTTGGGGCACCAGCATGATTCAATTGCATTGTGGAGATCTACGTACAATGTGGAGAAGGACCTGCCATTCATTGAGGCTGTAGATAACACAATGGAGAATGAATTAATTGGTTTTTGATGTATCCCAACTGGTGTAAAACTGCATTCCTTAGAGAAGGTAAGGTAGAATTTCTGGACCCTATAGGAACTTTCCACCCAGTATCTGTGAGATGTCAAAAAATGATAGCACTTGGGCCTCCCCAGTGGCTCAGTGGTTGAGCGCTGGGTTGCGAAACTGCCCACAGCCTCTGCAGCGCTGGTTTGATCCCCAGCCACTGGGTGAGAGTCCCACATGGCGTGCAGACCTCTCCTGCCACCCGCTGCTCCCCTCAGCAGTGTACTTCGTCGGTCTGCCTGTTCTGTTCCCCACTCTGGCTCTGGTGAATTCTCTCACCCTCCTGCACTTCTGACTATATCCAGTGCTTGTATAAATAAATAAATAAATCTTTTTTAAAAAAATGATTGCACTTTCAGGGGTTCTGTTTTACTCCTATACCCAGGAATTAGAAGAGAATTTAGTAATGTGACCCATTAACCCAAGGATGGGGAAGAAGTATTGGTATTTGGGAAGCCCAGATATAGTAAATTCAAATTAGAGCAACTGCCTAAGCTATCAACAGGAGCAATAACTTTTGGTGCCTGGCTCATTGGAGAACTCCAATTAGATTTCAACCACTGAATATGTTAAGGTAGTAGAATGAGGTGACTGAAGTCAAATCTCAACTTCTAGATGAGGAATTATGATCTGAAGATCCCTTTCACCTAAAGGCAAATCAGTGAGCTACTTTGTGCTGATGTTGGTCCCCTTTTCCTTCAAATGTCAGGCAGAAAAACTGGCCTGGCTATCAACTCAGCAGAGAAAGTTTGCCTTCTTTGCTTGTACCTTCCCTTCCCCAGCAAAGCTGGGACAAAGTTCATGCCTGTCTTCAGTGGAGACCAATAACTTCTGAAAGGAAAGGCAGAAAACACATGCCTGAACAGCTGTAATTTGGGTATGTGTGGGTAGTGATGGGTAAAAGAAAAAAGGCAATGTTTAGAGATACAATGCTGGATCTTTTCACTGTGATGGGCAGATGAACGTTACCCTCAAAACCTTTCAATAAAACAAGCCTAGGATGTTTTATTGGAGTAAGCAGTGGTGGATAGCTAAAGGCAAGGAAGGGTATAAGGGAGCTATCACAAAGAGTAGTTGGTATTACATTTCTCATGTAACTGGTTTTGGTACTGGTGTCAATAAACATGTTGAGTTCTCTGGATTTTTCTTCCTCCTCTTAGGCAGAAACCTATCTGCACAAATGAGAAATGAGGTAGGGGACCAGATAGTGGTAAACCCCCTTCTGACCCAGAGTTAGTGGCTAAGGATAGATCATTCTGAACTATAGTGATGCCTCCCTACAGCCAGAATTCCTGGAGCCCATGACTGAATCTGATTCCTAATACTGGTAACTCCTCCCCAAGTAAACAGAGTCCAGTAGACCCTCCTTGTAGAGACTGAATCTAGGTATACCAAGAAAAGTTACAGTTCTACATTACCTTTTGCTGTTCAGATCAGAATTGTTACCCACCAACATGATGACAATGTTATTACCTCTTTGTGCCCATACATAGTCTACACACTGGTCTATCTTGAAAGAACTGACGTCTACAAGGGGTATATCTTGCATAGTGATGAAATATTTAGTAGAGGTTTGGAGAGAATGATGTACCTCTCCTTCCTCTTTATTTTAATCTTACCAGCTTCCCTATTGTTTCCCTCAACCTCTTTTTTTCAAATAAAACATAGTAGGACACCCACTTGTAATGTCATAAACAAGCACCAAAACAGTTGAATCATGAATGTATCAATAGCTAGGAATTAAGTGGCAAAAGTGCTCCTGGCCAGCTGTCTCCTATAACTGCAGCTGGACCTTCATAACACAAATGTTTAGATAGAAGATGGAGACAGGTAGAAAAACTAGCCTTTTAAATGCTATAATTTAATAAAAGCAAAATCAAGAGTCAAGGAAACTGGGCCTCTGAAAAGTGGCTGCTGTGGCAACAAACCACTAGTGGCTTACCATCCTAGGGCAGGTCCAATTTCAAACTTGATTCAGGAAGACCCCCATAGAGCATCAACTATAAGGATTCAAGGCTGCTTGGACTTTGTGTTACAGTTGGGGATTAGATGAGGTCAAGGAGAACAAGAAACACACAGGGTTTAGTAATTTGGGTTCAGGTTTACCTTTCTGTTTTTATCCACAGAGAATCTGGGATGGTGCCACCCTACTGTAATGAATAGGCCTTAAAGGGTCGGGGTATAGGTTAGTGATATGCGAGAACTCTCATAATTGGTGACCTTAGACAGGAAGTCAATTCCAGTGGTTGCCTGCAAATGCCAGTCAGATACCTGTCCTGCCCCTGCCTTGCTGCAGCAGCAGTCTTAGAACCGGAAGTGGAAGATGACCCTTGAGAAGGTTGTTCTGGCTCAGCTTCCCAAGCTTACGGTAGATAAATTTTGGAGGAGAATCCGCGGGTGAGTTTGTCAAGGAAGGGCAAAAATGTACAGTGTGACTCCTGGTTGGTGACTCTTGGCAGGTGCTGTCAAAGCTGAGGTATAGTAAGAGGGTGGCGATAGATGTCTTCCCCACTGTGAGGCAAATGCAGGCCAACTGTCACTTTGGGTACCCTTTCTCTCCTCAAAGTCTATTAACTCTACCCCCCTCCACACACAGAGGAGATTGATTCCCTTCACACCTCCCTATCCTCAAAGCCTAACCTACACTCCCTCACAGCTCTGCTTCCCAAACATGAGTTTGGATTTGCGCAGAGACTGATAATTGAGTCTTTCCACGGTTTCCAGGTGGAAGTTTGCCAGGCTGTAGGCCTCCCTCACGGGGCGCCAAGGCATAGGTTGCGACCCGTTGGCGGTGCTGGATGCCTGGTGTCACTCGATGGTTGAGGCCTGAGGTCACACAGGACTCTGTCCCTCTGCAGCTCCAGCTGCCCACAATTAGCTTCGCCTGCCCCCTTGGGACGTGCCTGCAGCTCCTTTGACACCTGAAGTGGTGGGTGGGGGGGCGGGAGTGATCAGGGCCAAGAAGGAAAGTTAAAGGACCCAAGGGCAGTGGTTGTGCTGAGGGACTGTGGGGGTTGTTTAGGGAGAAGCATATGCCATCCACAGAGAAAAGGAGGGGTACTCTTTTTCAGTTATTGCAGTACTTTTCAGGAGGAGGCGGTAACACCAAAGAGATCATCAGGCTTGTCTGGACCAGCAGGTTTTATTAGAGCGTTGCAGTGGGGCGCCCACACCCAGCACCGTGCACAGCCAGATCCTCCTGGCTCTGCTCCCCATCGTGTTCCAGCTGTGTAAATGCCTCGATGACTATGTCCTCAGAATCCCCCATCTTCTTACCTGGCTGTCAGGTCACCTAGAATGCTAAGGATAGAGTGACACCCTAAAATTAGCAACTGGAAATGGCAAGTGGCAACCTAATTTTACCCAGGCATGAGAAATTGTTAGGGGGAAAAGGATGTCCTAAAACTAATTTCATACAGGCTTTGTGGGCCCCACCCTCACCCCACCCCAGGCCAAAGCCAAAGACACTGGGAACTCTTTTTAACTTTTTGGTTTTTTTTACTTTAAGGTTTTTTTTTTTTTCCTCTACTTGTTTTTTTTTTTTTTTGTTACTTTGGCCTATCAGTAAAACTACAGTTGTATGAGATATCCCACGCGTGATAAATTGTAACTAAAGAGCTCTTTGTGTCTATATGTTGTCTGTCTGTATGTCCTTGTGTCCAACTGTCTTGGCCTCCAGTGATTGACAAATTGGTATACATGGTGCCCATAGACATTAAAAAAAAAGACTCCAGTTATGAAAAAAACTAAAGGTTATTGTTTGATTGTCCACATTGTGCTACTAAACTAAACTGGTGCCTTCATAAAAATTAAATATTGTTGTTTCTATTATTTTTCTAATATTTATGGCAAAGCTTCCCAAAAATCTAAATTCAAGTACAAATTTGGTAGCCTGTCATTTGGCTGATGCAAAAAAATTTTGTGAAACCTCAGTAGAATTCCTAAAACACTCCACAAAGTTTCTCCCTTTCCTCCTGGTGATACCGGAATTGTCAGGCCTAGTCTCCCAGCCAGGAACGGATCCCAGGCTGCAGGGCAGTGCTGAGTCCCAGCCACTAGACCCCCACGGGTTGGTGTCTCACGAAGCCGCAACAGGAACTTCGCAGATGCTCAGGCAAGCAAGCGACAAGAGGCAGGTTTGTTTAGAGAAAGAAAAGTTTATTGAGGAGAAAAAGAACAGAAATAAAGTGGGACTCCCAGGCCAGGGAACCAGGCCTGGGAGGGGCAAGGAAGCCAAAGTGGAGTCATGTCTCAGGGAATATATACCTTTTTTCCCTCATTATTCTAAAGCTCCACCAGTCTCTTTGTGATTGGTTAGTTCTCGGCTGTCTCACTTAATTTGCTACTGAGTGGGGGATCTTCACATTCCTTATCTAACAGCTTTCTCTTTCCCCATTTGTTGCATCTTTATCTTTATGGCCCAGTCCTCTGGATGGGCATCCCTGCATTGAAGTTAAACAGCTGACCTTCTAAGTTGTCCATAAATTAAACCACTCTCCATTTCTCCAATCTCCACCTCCCTTTACCACCTGAAGGAAACCAGGACCAGCTTTAACAATGTTGTCCTTGGTCCTGAGATGTTTGTTTTTCCTAGTGGAATTGGTTACATTCCCTGGGTTGTCCTTATCTCTGAAGCCTCCCTAAATTCTTCAGAGGTTCCCTCCTGCACTGTCCCTGAAACTGCCTAATTTCTAACTTGCCCTGTGTCTCACTGGGAAGGCATTAAATAAATTTGTTCTATTTGACTTTTACCTAATAAAGTAAAACTAAAAGGAAAGCATTGTCACTTGAAAAAATGGTAAAACTTTGGCATGTACAGAAATGTTAACAGTGGTTTTCTAAAATATGTATAAAAACCTCTCAGTACCTGGTATGTATGTAAATTATCAATGGTGATTGTCACCTTGTAATATTATATAATTCAATTGTTTAATATCTACAAAAATTGTTTCTAAAAATATAGGGAAAAAAGATCTCAACAGATTCCTATTGATGGAACTGTTGAGAGTAAAAACTTTCCTACAAAGGACTAAATAGACCTGGAAATACACCTGACATTTACTAAGTTTTCTTTGACAAAATACTGGTAATTTTTTATACTTGTTGTCCTGAATCCACAAAGTTTTGTTTTGTTTTGTTTTGTTTTAAGTAACCAGACTCTGCAACAAGGTTGCAATTTTTTTTTTTCCAGCAAAGCTAACTTGTCACATTTTCTCTCCCCATAATACCAACACAGTATACAAATAGTGGTAGTAATTTTTTGCTACTTATCTCAGAGTCTGTTTTTGCATAACTTCCATAGGAATTTTGTCTGCTTAAACAAAAAAAAAAATTGGACATAAGTTTAATTGTGTGGCTTTGTGTGGCGTTCTTCCAAAAAGTTAAAAAAGAGCCAAACCAAAAAAAAAAAAAAAAAAAAACCTGTTTGCTTTGTTTGTAGGGTTCCAAAGACCTCCAAAAAAGGTAAGAAAGCTTGCCTCCATTGACAGGACTAGACAACCCCGCCAACGAAAAAGCCCTGGTACCCTCAAAAAGAGGAAAGCCCAGTGGAGTCTAATGAGACCAACTTTGTTCCTAAAGCCTACATCGACCGGATGCCAAGGGTTCGCTCTGATCCTATATGAAGTATTTCAACAAAACCAACTAAAATTTGCTGTTAGTTATTTCTGCCCTGTAATTTTATGCAAAAATAAAAAAATGGTTTAAAAGTAAATTTAGTTTGCAAACTTTTGCTATACTGTTAAAAGTTTGGAATCAAGGTAAAGAAAATTTGTGTTTTGCATCAGTTGAACCATTTTAAAATTTTTTTCCCTGTAATTTTGACATATCTACTGTCTTGTTTTGACTAATGCCTCCAAATTTTTTTTTTTGGCTTAAACTAATAAACTGTTTTTCCAGAAATAAAGGACTTTTGCTTTCCACAATGGACAAATACCTGGAGGGACTGGTTTTCTTTCACACTGAAACCTGGTAAAAAAATGTTCATCTATGACTACATCCTAATATCCATATATTCGATCTTCATCACCATGGAAATGGTGGCAAAAAGTGAAAGGGGGGAATTGTTAGGGGGAAAAGGATGTCCTAAAGCTAATTCCATACAGGCTTTGTGGACTCCACCCCCACCCCAGGCCAAAGCCAAAGACACTGGGAACTCCAAATCCCATCCCCACCAAAGGGAAGGTGGCTGGGACCTGAGGGTGGGGATAAGCAGCCAGGATGGTATAAAGCCAGACACGTGGGCTTTGGAGGGGTTCCCCATTTTGGCTCTCCGCCAGCTCGCAGCATCCAGCCAGCTCTGAGAGTGCCTTTGGGTTTCCGGGTCGGCGGATCGGGTAGGACGCATTAAAGACTTTATTTCCCTATTTTCTCCCTGAGTTGTACATTTTCCTTATTTCCTTTTCCCTTGTAAATAAACCTTTTATTAACCTTTTGTGTATGCCTGTAGTGGAGTATTCATAAGTCCCTTTTAAGCACGTGGGTGAGGACCCACAGCCAGGCAACCCGTTCAATATCAGGGCTGCCCTATAACAAAATCATTAAGCAACTCTACAAAATGGGGTTCGCTCACCTCACAGGTTTGGGAAACTAGTCCTGCCCAGACAGATGCTGAACCCTCACTCATCTTCCACAGGATACCATCAAATTGATTTTGACTTTGTAGGACACCAAGTTCCCTGGCAAGTCCTTGTTCATTCCAGGTCCAACACTCGAGGGGCTGATTTTGTTGTTGTTGTTGTGGGGAGGGGGAGGGATGGGAAAAGGGAATTTATTAAACCCCCCTAGTCCCTTGATGTGCACCTTTTGTCTTTTTTTTTTTTTTTGTGGGACCTGCGCTGCCCAGGCTGCGGAGGCTGCGTGCAGGCAGCCTCACAGCCAAGCGCTCAACCGTTGCGCCACCAGGGGAGGCCCTGCACCTTTTGTCTTTTAACAGGTCTTCCAGGCTCTAAGCTCTCTAACTCATGGGGACCACATATATCTTCCTAAAATACAGTTTTGCTATGTCGCCCTCTGCTCAAGAGCTTACTTACCTCACAGAATAGAACTATTCTGCTTGAATATAACTATTCAAGGCCCTTAACACCCTGGCCACCCAGCTCATCTCATCTTTTCTGCCCTAACTCCCTAGGTTAGGCTAAATTGTATCCCAGGGTTACAACCTAAGCAGACCCATCCTTTCTATGCTCAGAACATGCCGTGTGCATGTTCTGGCTATCTCCCATGCTATGGAATGATCTTTTCTTCCTCTGTTGCTCTCTAGATCCTACATATCCTTTAAGACCTAGCCCATTTTGTCTCCTGCAGGGAGCCCTCTCAAGCTATGCCTGCTTATTTTAACTTCTATTGGATTTATAATCTGAATAGTACGTACAACATTTAATCCTTAGATTGCATTTGCATTCCTCTTTGCTCCCTATCTAGTCATAAATTGACTGAAGGCAGAGACTCTCTTAAACTTCTTTGTATCCATCCACATTGCTTAGCACAGATATGAGCACATAACAGGTGCTCAATAAAACCCACTGGTTGAAAAATCTTGGGAAGATCTCTTCATTGCTCTAGGATGCTGAGTCTATATAAAACAATGCTGCTTCAATGATTTCTAAGGGTCTTCCTAACAACAAAAGTGTATAGCTACATGATGGATAAGGCATAGGGAGAGGCAGAGAGATTTAATGTTTGTCAGATGGTGGCTATTGGCTTTTGGTGTGAGACACATTTGACACTAGGGCCTCTGAAGGCATAGGATCAAGTGAATGACTTGATAAAATTCCATCAATTTTATATAATTTTAATTCTCCTTTTTTATTCTCCTTTCCCTCCATTTCTCATCTCCTAGTCTCCCACTCTAGTTCTGTTTTTCCTAGCGATTAGTTACTATATAGATCAGCAGTTAAAGCCACATAACATGTGATAAAATCCTTTCCCCCTCTGCTACTTAGTAGCTATGCAAACTTGGACAAGTTCCTTCATCTCTCTGCATCTCAGTGTCTTTAATTGTAAAATGGAATAAGAACACCTATCCAGCCTACCTTTACTGGAATCTTTATGAAAATAGCATAGTACATATGTAAGACCTTTGTGAACTGCAAAGTATTATACAATGTAAGGAATTTTCCCTTTTTCCTTTCTTACTGCCAATAACCTAAGCCTATCATTGGTCCCTGGGCATTATTTAGCTTATCATTAGCCTTCAAGCCTGAAGGGATCTCTGGACACTGGGCTAGGGATATTTTTAAGAAATAGGTAGGTTTCATTGAATGTGAAAACCTTAGAACTATGCAGAATGGGTTAGGGATGGAAAATGGAGGCTGGCCTACACTGTGCTAGAGGCCAGATTGGTATCACCATGTTTGAGTTTGCCATCCAGTGCCAGGAGTGGGGTTACTCGAAAGCTCTTGGAGAAGCTGGAGTGAGCAGCTGTAGTCTTCCTTTGAAAGGAGAAAAAAAGAGTAAGAGTACTAAGTACTAAGAGTACTTTCACTCTCAAGAATATATTACACAATTTCTGGAGTATTCAAAAGAGCTAGCATGTCCAACTGTACAGAGTGTGAGCAATTAGGTGGGAAATCATGACCCTGCCCTCTCTCAACATTTTGATGATCCTTTTGTGAATCAGTCAGGTACCTGTCCTGTAGTACTCCTTGGAATCCCTCCCTTTCTTCACTTCGGCCCTCACCTTGACCTTCCTCCCTCCTGGGCTTGCCAGGCTTCCTTCTTGCCCCAACCTCCTCCTCCTGCCTCTGTCCTCTCACCCACTCCCTATCACCTCACCCCTTGGCAGTCTATCCCAGGCACCATTGCAGCTCATGTGAAGTCCTGAATGAACACGGTTTGGTGTACTTGTCTAGTGAATACAGGACAACATCTGTATTCTGGTCCACTAACAGCCAGGGAAGCACATGACTAGAATCTGTCTTCCTTGAGACTCCAGCTTGCTGCCCTCAGATGTGATCTTATACATGAGAACACTATGCAAGGTGCACTAAGATGTGCTTGTGGGCAAGCAAAGATATATTTTGCTAATCCTATGTGGGGGAGCGAAGACTAGGTGAATATAAACTGGGTAAGCTGGGTAGAGTTTTGGAAAAGACTTGTAGTATTGGGTCCAGGTGCAAGGGAATAGGAAAAGAAGCTCACATGAAATCTTAATTGTTTTGATGACCTTGTTGGTGCAGTTGTTGATGGAAACATTGACAGAGATGGGGTTGCCATGGTTGTGAACCTGAAATAGTTTGGAACTAGAATTCCTGTCTCCTCAGCACCATTGCTGCCCTGGTTTCCATTCCTGTCTAATCAAGCAGAAAATCAGTGAAGAAAGGATTTCCAAGGGATTGAGGTGGGGGGCTAGGGTACAGGATGTCGGAATCACAAACCTCCTAGTCCATCCAGGCCTGGAGTTGAAGGGGCTGAGCTGAAAGAAGGAAGTGGTGGATGGTCTAAGCTGAGGGCCCAGCACCTGGCTCCAAGGGTGCAAACTGTACTTTCTGGAACACCAGCTGCACAGAGCCTCTAGAGGCCATGGGGTTAGCCAGTACCTCTCCACTGGGATTTCAAGACCTTTCCCATACCAACCCTATAGCCCTGTCTTTGCTTGGCGAGGGCCGGCAGTAGCTCTCCCTCAGAGAACTCCTCTAGATCCTCCATGTAGGTATTGGGACTAAGGATCAGCAAATTATAGCTCTCTGGCCAAACCTGACTGGCTGCCTGTTTTTGTATGATTCTCAGTTAAGAATGCTTATTATAGTTTTAAATGTTTGAAAAACGTCAAAGAACAATATTTCACAATATGTGAAAATGATATAAAATTCTAATTTCAGTGTTCATAAATAAAGTTTTATTGGAAAACAGTTGTGCTCACTCACTTACATGTTATCTGTGGCTGGTTTCACACTATACTAGCAGAGTTGAGCCACTGCAACAGGAACTACATGGCTCACACAGCCTATTTTTTTTATCCCTTCACCTAAAAGTTTGCTGACCCTTGCCCTTGAGCAAAGAAGAGAAAGAGGGGAATCAGGAACTGGGCCTCTGAGTTGGTGGTGATGGTACTGTGGAGGTTAGAAAGAAGTAGGCTGTTTCTATCCTGAGAGGGAGATCTGTTTCATGGTGCAGCCTGGAGGCAGAGATTTTGGAGAAGACCAAAGAATACCTCTTGGGAATTTTCTCTTCTGGGTTTTCAGCACAGAAACTCTTCACTTCAAAGTCAACCTCACCGGCCTATAAAAGGACAGGGGCAAAGAGAAGACATTTCCAACACCACCCCTTTCTTCCTTGTGGGTCTATAAGGAAATGCCTGACCTCATCCCTTAGCTGTCCATGTCTCCGGTCTTGTCCATTTGTCCCTCTGTTCTTCAATCCAGCACTGTTCATCTATTCCTTTCTCTCAAAATGCAGACCTCCCCTTTCCTATATCTTCAGGACCTGGCTGCAGTGTCACCAAACAGGGCAGGTTGACAACCATCTAGGGGACCACAAGGAAGTCAACAACAAAAAAAGAAATAAAAAGATCTCTTCTTCTCCAGCTTCCTCTCCTAATCCTTTCTGGAAATTTTGCTTAGGATGTAGGGTCACTACCTGCAGGGTAAAGGGGTAGACATTGTCCCCAGCTTGTGTAGCAGTCACTTTTGAAGGATGGTGCAGGACCCCTGGGGACTGATGGGCTCAACTCAGACCACTTGTTGGAACTGTACTTACATATCTTTGTGGAATGTCAGACCAATCACACCCAAGTCATCATGGCCATAGCAAAAAGCACATGTCAACAGGACAGACACTGCAGGTAATAGAGAGAAAGGACAAGACCTTCAGGCCTGAGGCAGGAAGGTTTTTAATGGGGAGACACAAAGAGATGATGTAATATGATCAAAGCAGCATGGCCATAAAGAAAAGCTGGGAAGCTGACAGTGGGATGGGGCAGCTAGAGGGGGAGGGGAGGAAGAAAGGGAGAGAGGAGCAGAAGGAAGGGAGGGAGCACTAGGGTCTATGGTGGTGAAGTATGGGTGCCTTGGTGGTGGTCACTATGGCAACAATGCCTGAAAGAGTGGGGTGGGGGGATCCTACACTTCTACAATCAAAACAATGATGTAGGGCCTCCCTGGTAGTGCAAGGGGTTAAGCACCACACTATGAAGCAATTGCAGCCTCTGCAGCATGAGTTTGATCCCCAGCCGGCCAGGGATCTACCCACATGGCGCAGCAGACCTCTCCTTTCTCACCCACTGCTTCCCTCAGCAGTGTGTTTCAGTCAGTCTGCCTGTTCTGCTCCCCACTCTGTCTCTGGTGAGTCCTCTCACCCCCTGCACATCTGGCCTGTACCCCAGCTCTTGTATACATCAATAAATAAATCTTTAAAAAAAAGATGTAAACCAATATTAACTCAGTATTTTTTTTTTAAATATGTAAGCTACAGTTGATAAAGACAAAGGTAATAAAAATAAATAAGTTTAGCATTTGTAGTATGTAAAGAACGCCCATAAAATGATAATAAAAATGAAAATATTCCAATATAAAACTGTCCATGCATACAATTTTATTTTTTCAAAGCTCACATCGTGCTGAAATTAGTTTCCTTCTGAAATTTCTGATTTTCCCAGTTAACTACAGGTGGTGGCCCTGCTTTGCTGCTGATCTAAACATGGGTATAGAATGCCTATGGAAAGATCCAGTAAGCCAAATATCCACATTTTTTACATAATTTTCCTGATTTTCAAGTGTTAGCAACTAATGAAAAGATTTTTAAAAGCCTGCATAGATAAAAAAAAAAAAAAAAACTTTTTCCATCAGCTTAGTGCGACCCTCAGGCTGCCATCTTGCAACCTCTGGTTTTTTTTTTTTTTTTAAAGATTTATTTATTTTTATTTATACAAGCACTGGGTACAGTCAGAAGTGCGGGAGGGCGAGAGAATTCACCAGAGCCAGATCGGGGAGCAGAGCAGGCAGAAGGACCGAAGTACACTGCTGAGGGGAGCAGCGGGCGGCAGGAGAGGTCTGCACGCCATGCAGGACCCTCCTCTGGTGGCCGGGGAGCAGCCGGGGATCGAACTGGAGCCGCAGAGGCCGCGGGCAGCTTCGCAACCCAGCGCTCAACCGCTGCGCCACCGGGGAGGCCCTTGCAAGCTCTGGTTAATGTCATTCCATCTCTATTTGAATAGGCAAAGTTCCTATCTGATCCATTAAAAAAAGAAACCAACCAAACAATAATCACAGCAAGTGATAGCAGCAGACACAATGCTATACAGAACTGAAATATTTTTTCACTGTTTTTCCCCCTTTAATTCTTACTCGATGATTCAACTGGATTGAACATTGAGTTTGGCTTAAAAAGGTTCAGGACACATTGATGAAGACTGGTTTACATGTTACCCTTTGATGCTGTGGAATAAATCTCTCAGATTAAGTAGTGTGGATAAGCAGTCCAGCCAGGTTTAAATATCAGAGGGATTTTGGGTCTCGCCAGTAAATTAACCAGTGTATTTAAGACTCTCAAATACTGAAATGAGAGCCTTGTATATACTTTCTATATCTCTTGATCACTATTGCAGACAAACAAAAGCCAAGAGCATGGAAAAGAGTACCCCTTCTCCAGTCCCCTACCACTTGGGTCTTAGCACTCTTGTATGGAGCAGTGTGTGCACCTGTGAGCCTTGAACTTTTCTTGTTGGAGAGGATGGTAACAGAGTCTTCGTGGTCTAGGGGAAGGTTCTCCTGGCAGGATGTTGCATGTGGAGGGAAAAGGCAGATTTCCTTGCCTTGAATGACCTGTCATGGTAATAGAGATATTTTTGTCCTGCAGCTGCCAGGAATCCCACGATCGCAGCAACAAAGCAAACTTTTTTCTTGACCGTTCCTCCCATTGGGCCCAAGTCCACCAGGTGTGGACATGGTGAAGGTAGAGAGCTAGGCCCCTGCCCTCCTCACCTCCCCTTAGACTTGGATGGACTTTAGTATCTACTCATAGATGCCACCCCACAATTTTCTGCAATAGGGTGCCCATTCCTTAGAGTATGACTGTGACTAGCTCAGAGTGCTGGGAAGGGATTGCTTTACCTCCCAGACATCCCTTGCCATCCTTGCCATTACACACCCGGAGCCTTGTCTTTTAGTTGCCGCAACTCCTTTTCAGGGATTTTCAGACAAAGCACAGACTGTGCAGGGACCACAGGGACCACATAATGCTGGGCATATGTGAAAGAATCATATGCTTGTCAAGGTTGGTGTCTGTGGGCAAATTAAAAAGTCAGAGTGAATACCCTTTAGGACTAGTCCACTTTTGTCTTCAGACCCACGCTTGAGGCCCCTGCTTCCCTTCTACATACTTTTTTTAAAAAATATATTTATTTATTTATACAAGCACTGGGTACAGTCAGAAGTGCGGGAGGATGAGAGAATTCATCAGAGACAGAGCGGGGAAAGAACCAGCAGACTGACGAAACTCACTGCTGAGGGGAGCAGTGGGCGCGGCAGGAGAGGTCTGTGCGGCATGTTGGACCCTCGCTAGCAGCCAGGGATCGAACCAGCACTGCAGAGGCTGCGGGCAGCCTCACAGCCCAGCGCTCAACCGCTGCGCCACCAGAGGAGGTCCCCCCTTCTACATACTTATCCTCTCTTTCAATGCAGGTCCATGGTCTTCTGAGCAGGAAAAAGTAGAACTGATAGGTCTTTAATTCACTATTATAATTGAACTTAACTGATTATCTCTTTTCCAGGAGTGTGTTTATTTCTTGCTTGAGATATACTTTTCAAACATTAAAATGCACAAATTATAACTCTATAGCTTGATGAATTTTTACCTACTGTGGTTGGATGAGTTATACCCCCTGAAGATATTAGGTTCCAATCCCTACGAATGTTACCTTATGTGGCAAAATGAACTTTGTAAATGTGGTTAAATTAAGGATCTTGACATGGGGAGAATATTCTGGATCATATAAATAATCACTATTCTAAATATAATCTAAATATGATCACTAGTCTCTTTATAAGAGAAGATAAAGGGAGATTTGACTACAGAGACAGAAGGCAATTTGAGGTCTGAAGCAAGATGCTATGCTGTTGGCTTTGAAGAGGGAGGAAGGGGCCACAGTAAAGGAATGCAGCTCTAGAAGCTGGAAAGGACAAGGGAAAATGGGTTCTCCCCTATAGTTTTTCATGGTCACAAAGTCACCTTGTGTTCAGAAGCAGCCCTGCTAACATCTTGATTTTGGTCCAGTGAAACTGATTTCCAACTTCTGACCTCCAGAACTGTGCGAGAATAAATGTGTTCTTTTAAGCCATCAAGTCTGTGATAATTGTTATAGCAGCAATAGGAAATGAATATATTTATCGAGACACAAAAGTCACCACCACCTAGATCAAGATATAGAACATTTCCATCTCCCCAGAAATTTCCCCTGTGCCCCTTTCCAGTTAGCTGTCTCCCAAAGAGAGCCACCACCAGTTTCATTTTAACCAGGAATATTTGCGATTTACAAGGAGGCAAGAATAAGAAGGCGAGGGAACACATCTCTAATTAGAGTTTCTGGCCCCTATGACAGGCTGTTGGGAGAGGTATTTTCAGGTCCTTACCCACCTTCATGCTGTGCACTAAATGGGATTCCCTAGTAGGCCTTCCAGTTAGGAATTGGTGACAAGGTCTCTGAGAAGGGAAGGGGTGAGTTACTCATAAGGGATTGTAGCAAACATAATTGTTTATCAATGCAATAGCCATTTCTCTTTTGCTTCTTGAGGGCAGAATCACCATTTTTTAGGTACTCATTGATGAAATGATGTCATTTCAGCCTTGACATCATTAGTTACAGGCACGATGAAAGCCAGACCACTGAGCTGTGATGGGAAGGATGTATGTTAGGGAAATTATGAGAAACTTTTCCTGAGTGATAAAAATAAACACACAGGAAGAGAAGCTTTCTCTTCATCCGATTAAATATTGCCATGTAGTGATGCAGTGCCTTAACTGCAATAGCTACCTGTGACATCGGGAGTTGCTGAACAACATGCTGAGGGGTGCATATCAGCAAGATAGAATCAGGACTTTTTTTTTGAATTTCACATCATTTTTTACATCATTTTTCATTTTTGCAAAATGTATGCATTTTCATCTTGGTAATAGTCCCCATACAATTCCCACCGCACTTGTTTTGATCCCACTCCCTCCCCCCCCCACCCCTGTAGTGTGTCTCTGGTTTATAGTTGCTTGTTGATTTTGAATTTTACTTTATTATAATTTGTCTTTTTCCTGGTCCCTTATTTAGGTTTTCTAAATTACTGCTATGAGTGAGACCATCCGCTATTTTTCTTTTTCTTTCTAGCTTTTTTCGCTGAGCATGATCCCTTCCAGCTCCATCCATGTTGATGCAAATTGCATGGGTTTATCTTTTTTGATTGCTGAGTAATATTCCCTTGTGTATATGTGTTACAGGGCAACCCCACTCTAAAACAGGTTGCCTGACTGTGGGTCCTCACCCGCACGCTTAAAAGGGACTTACACTGCAGGCACACACACAAGATTAACAAAGGTTTATTTACAAGGGAAAGGGAAATGAGGAAATGTACAACTCAGGGAGAAAAGAGGGAGATAAAGGCTTAAATGTGTCCTACCCGTTCCACCAAGCTAGAATTCCAAGTGACCCGCTGAGACCAAACCTGCCTGGCTGAGAGCACTAGCCAAGTGAGCCCCGACCCCACTAAAATGGCTGGTTTTATTTACAAACATAGAAAATGGCTGCTTAACTCCACCCTTATCTCCTTGCAACTTTCCTTTGGGGGTCATGGGATTTGTAGTTTCTAGTGTCTTGATGGAGTGGGAGTGGCATCCACAAAGCCTGTATGGAGTTTTCTCAGGACATCCTTTCCCCCTAACATATGTACCACGTCTTACATTTTATCTGTCCTTCCTTCCCCTGCCACAGGAAGGATCTTCAGTTTTCCCCCATTAGGTTTCTGGACATTCCAGGAGACGTAGATTCTAAATTCTATTTTTAAACATTCTTTTATTTGGATTCTAAATTTGAAAGCCTTCCTTGCAGTCCTATCTGCTCCTCTCCCTCCCAGGATGTTTCTAGACAACAATCTCAGTACCTGAGTCAGATTCAGAGCCCCATTTCTTCCTGGATCCCTTTAAAAGGGATTCTGCTCCAGCCTGTTCCCCCTTCCCAAGAGCACTATCCACCTCATCCTGAGTCCTCCTGTCCCAGAAACTGCTCCCTATGCCGAAGGCCTTCATAGCCACAGGACTTCAGCTCCAGCAAGAAGCACCAGGTCTAGAGCTCCTAACAATTTCATATTACTTGGCAATGGCTATCAAGCATCTAGGTGTGCTCTCAGTATTTTCTCCACCATATTCAGACCAGTGTCTCCTAAAGTGAGAGAGAGAGAGATGATGGGTAGTGTGGAGGAAGGGGTAAAATCTATAAAGGAAGCTTGTTTACTACTATGGACTTGTTGACTACAAGTGGACAGCCTTAAAATTTAACATCTGTATATACTATGTTATGATCCCCACCAAAAGTCTAGTTTCCATCTACCACCATACCATTGAACCATTTTACCCAATTCACCTGCCCCTCTGATAACCATCATTCTATTTTAGGAATCTAAGTGTTTGTTTTGCTCTTTTTTTTTTTTTTTTTGATTCTTTACTGTAAGTTTTTGCTTTGTGGTTACTATGAGGTTCAGCTATAACAATGAGTATAATGTTCTATTTGAGTTGATAGCTACTTACCTTTGAACACCCTCCCAAAGTATACATTTTTTGCCCACTCTTCCATTATATAATTTTGATGTCTCACTTTACATCTTCATCTGTATGTACCTTTAAACTAGTTCTTGCAGTTTTAGTTAATATTACTACTTTTTTCTTTTAATCATTGCACTTCATTTATAACTGCTTGATCCATCAATTTTACTATATATTTACCTTTTCTGGTGAGTTTTCTTATGTATGTTTTCTTGACATTAGTTACTACTATTTCTTTTCAGTTATTTCTTGCAAGGTCAGTTTAATACTATTGAATTCCTGTAGATTTTAGCTGTCTGGGAAGCCCTTAATTTCACCTCCAATTCTGAATGTTAACATTGCTTGGTATAGAATTCTTGGTTGGAAGTTATTTCTCTTCAGTACTCTCTAAAGCCTCCCTTGAAAAGCCTGCTGATAGGGCCTCCCTGGTGGCGCAGCGGTTGAGCGCTGGGTTGCGGGGCTGCCGGCGGCCTCTGCTCCCCGGCCACTGGAGGAGGGTCCCACATGGTGCGGGGACCTCTCCTGCCGCCCGCTGCTCCCCTCAGCAGTGTGCTTCGGTCCTTCTGCCTGCTCTGCTCCCTGCTCTGGCTCTGGTGAATTCTTTCACCCTGCCGCGCTTCTGACTGTGCCCAGGTGCATGTATAGACAAACAAACAAACAAACAAATAAATAAAACATGCCTTTATAAAAAAAAAAAAAAAGCCTGCTGATAGCCTTTCGAGTTTTCCCTTTTATGTCACAAGCTGTTTTTGTCATGCCACTTTTAAGATCCTCTCTTTAGGGGCCTCCCCAGTTGCGCAGCGGTTGAGCGCTGGGTTGCGAAGCTGCCTGAAGCCTCTGCAGCGCCAGTTCGATCCCCGGCGAGGGATCCCACATGGTGCACAGACCTCTCCTGCCGCCCGCTGCTCCCCTCAGCAGTGTATTTCAGTCCCTCTGCCTATTCTGCTCCCTGCTCTGGCTCTGGTGAATTCTCTCACCCTCCCGCGCTTCTGACTGTACCCAGTGCTTGTATAAATAAATGAATAAATAAATCTTAAAAAAAAAAAAAAAGATGTTCATTTAAAAAAAAAAAGATCCTCTCTTTAATTTTTTTTACTTTAATTAAAATATGTCCTGGTGTGGATCTCTTGGGTTCCTCTTTTATTATATCCAAGAGGGAAGGTTTACTTTTCTTTTATTTTTTAATTGCTTATTTTTTATTTGTATCTTTTACATCCTTGTGTATTCCCTGTATAAATTCCCACCACCAATTTACCTGTGAACCATCACCATAGTCCCTTGTGCTCTTCTCTCCCCTGCTTTGATATCTTTTCCTCCCCCTCCCTCACAGAATGTCTCTGAGTTATAGTTGCCTGCTAATTTTTATCATTATTATTATTTTCCTTTGATCCCTTATTTGGTTCACCTTTATTCCTCCTATAAGTGAAATCATTTGATATTTTTCTTTTTCCTTCTGGCTTATTTCACTGAGCATGATCCCTTAGAGCTTCACCAATGGTGCTGCGGATGGCATACGTTTATCTTTTTTGATTGCTGAATAGTATTCCATTGTGCATACATTCTACTTCTTCTTGATCCAGTCATCTATTTTTGGATATTTGGGTTGTTTCCATATCTTACTTATTGTAAATAGTGCTTCAATAAACATAGGGGTGCCGGTATCTTTTTTTAAATGTTTTTAAAGACTTATTTATTTATTTATACAAGCACTGGGGTACAGTCAGAAGCATGGGAGGGTGAGAGAATTCACCAGAGCCAGAGCGGAGAGCAGAACAGGCAGACTGACGAAGTACACTGCTGAAGGGAGCAGTGAGCGTGGCAGGAGAGGTCTGGGCTCCATGTGGGACCCTTGCCCAGCAGCTGGGGATCGAACCAGCACTGCAGAGGCTACAGGCAGCTTCGCAACCCAGTGCTCAACTGCTGCACCACCGGGGATGCCCCAGGTGTCTTTTTGAATTAATGTTTTTGTGTCCTTTGGGTAGATTATTAGGACATTCTGGGTTATATGGTAGCTCCATTTTTAGTAGTCTGAGGAACCTCCACACAACTTTCCATAGTGATTGGACCAGTTTGCATCCCCACCAGCAGTGTAGGAGAGTTCCTTTTTCTCCACATCCTCGCCAACATTTGTTGTTGCCTGTTTTTATAATCTGTGCCATTCTCACTGGTGTGAGGTGGTATCTCATTGTGATTATGATTTGCATTTCCTTGATTATAAGTGATGTTGAACCTTTTTTCATATACCTGTTGGCCATTTGCATTTCCCAAGAGGGAAGTTTTATTATAAAAAGGGGGGGAGAATAAAAAAGGGCATTTCAATAGACACAAGTGGGCAGAAAAAGCTGCCACTGAAAGGAACAGGTTTGCTAAGAGAGAGGCTTATATAGTAACAGGTGCACAGCCTTGGGGGGAAAGCTGCCTCTGCTGCTCTGCAAAAGGAAAAGGTTGGAGAAGAGACACACCTGCATAGTCACAGGCAGGAAAAGAGTTGCTGCTCTTGGGTTCCTCTTATTTGGAGCTCTCTGAGATTCCTGAGCTTGATGTCTGTTTCCTTCCCAGAGTGGGGAAATTGTCCTTTTTTTTTTTTTTTTTAGCTTAAACAATGGAAATTTTCTGTTTCACAATTTTGGAGGCTATATGTCTGAAATCAAAGTGTCTGCAGTGTTGGCTCCCTGAGGACTGTGAGGGACAATCTGCTCCAGGCCTCTCTCCTACTTTCTGGTGGTTTTCCAGGAATCTCTGGCACTCTTTGACTTACTGATACATCACAGTGTTCTCCCTCTATCTCTTCACATAGTCTTTCCTCTGTGTATGTCTGTTTATGGCCATCTTTCCCCTTTTCATAAGGACAAACTCTTGTTGGATAAGGCTCACCCTACTAACCTCAACTTAACTTGATTCTCTTCAGAAACTATTTACTTTTTTTTTTTTTTTTGGCAATTTCTGTTTTTATTTACTCATAAAAATTTTATTAAGATATAATTCACATACCATAAAATGTACTTGTTTAGTGTACTATTCACTGGGTTTTAGTTTGTCCACAGAGTTCTACAACTAGTTCTTTCTCCACCATTATCCCTTATAGGCTTTTTTAAAAATATATTTATTTATTTTTTTAATTTATTTATACAAGTACTGGGTACAGTCAGAAGCGTGGGAGGGTGAGAGAATTCACCAGAGCCAGAGCGGGGAGCAGAGCAGGCAGAAGGACCGAAGTACACTGCTGAGGGGAGCAGCAGGCGGCAGGAGAGGTCTGCGAGCCATGTGGGACCCTCCTCCAGTTGCCGGGGAGCAGCCGGGGATCGAAACAGCACTGCAGAGGCTGCGGGCAGCATCGCAACCCAGCGCTCAACCGCTGTGCCACCGGGGAGGTACCCTTATAGACTTTTGTCCCCTTCCTTTCCCTTTCTTAACCTCAGAGCTCTCAGGGTATTTATTGATGTCTACTGTTTCTTTTAAGTGTTATATTATCAAATTGTAGCTGTGTAAATGTTCAGTATTTGTTTTTACCATTCTGACTTCCTTTGCTACATTTAATTCTCTCAAATTCCCTCCATTTTGTTGAAAATGGCTACATTCTATCCTTGTGGCCACATAAGACTCCATTGTGTGTGTATGCTACATCTTCTTGATCCAATTGTCCATTGATGGACATGTAGGCTGTTTCCAAATCCTAGCTACTATAAATAACACTGCTATGGAAATTGTGGAACATGTGGGTTTGTGTATTGATGGTTTGTATTCTTTGAATATATGCTCAAGAGTGGGATTGCTGGATAATGCAGTATTTCCATTGTTAGTTTTTGAATGTAAATCCAGATTGCTTTCCATAATAGTTGCACTAGTTTACATTCCCACCAACAGTGTAATGGGGTTCATTTTCCTCCACAACCTCTCCAATAATTATTGTTGGTCATCTTTTTAATATGGGCACGAGATGATATCTCACTATTGGGGAAGTTTTTGGCCATTATTTCCTCAAGTAATTTTTTGGCCCCTTTTTTTTTTTTTAAAGATGTATTTATTCATGCATACAAGAACTGGGGTACAGGCCAAAGGTGTGCGCGGTGAGATGATTCCCCAGAGAGAGCGGGGAACAGAACAGGCAGATTGACTGAAATACATTGCTGAGGGGAGCAGCAGGCAAGTCAGACGTCTGCTATGCCATGTGGGTAGCTCCCTGGCCGGCTGGGGATCGAATTCGTGATGTAGTGGCTGTGGACAGCTTCATAGGTTACATCTTAACCCCTTGCGCCACCAGGGAGGCCCGGCTCTTTCTTTTCCTTCTGCAACCCCCAATATGTGAATATTACTCCTCTTGATGTTGTCTCATAGGGTATTTAAGTTATCGTCACTTAATTTTTTTTTCCCATTCTGTTGCCCTACCTGGGTGTGTTCTATTGCTTGTCTTCCAGCTTACTTATCTGCTCCTTTGTTTCACTCAGTTTGCTGTTGGTCCCCTTTATTGTATTTTTCAGTTCTATTAC